AGATAGTCAAAATAATTTAAATTAAGAAAAACTGGCAAGATACAAGCCAAGCTAAGCCCAGGCATTCACAACTAAGAGTAAGCCTCTATGTGTGATTTACTAGGAGTTGGGTAGTGGGCCTCCCCCAAAAAGACAAAAAAAAGTAAATATTGTACAGTACCCCTTCAAGAAAAACAGAGAAGGATGCTTTCTGTGTTACTTGGAGTGTCCTTTACCTTTTAAAAACAGCAGCAGACCTCCAGGCTAACTACTAAATACTGTTGGAATGTTGGGATGGAAAGCCAATGCCACAAAAGGAAATACATTCCCAGAACTAAAAATCTGCCAAGAAACCAGGGTTGGGAGCTTACAGGCTTGCAGCAGCAAACCTACTACTATTAATAGACATATTATCAAACCACCAACTAAATCTGTGTCTCACTACCCGGAGTGCAGCTCTCAGACCTCATCAGAGACATTTCTTTGGGCAGTGGATGGTGGCTGAGGCAGAAACTCAAATCAAATGAAGTCAAAAGGTGTCCACGGAGTGCTCAGGCTCAAATGGGACATCTGTATCTACGTGTTCTCGTCCCAAGGCTCAAGAACCATCTCAGAAGAGGAGATCAAATGATCGTTAGAAAGCACTGCAGTAATATTAGTGACCTATCTGAAAATAGTAATTTCTACAAAGTTAATCAAATCTAAGCATTAATAGTAAAATGTTGCATATATAATGAATAAATATTGAATGTTTCTGCATGCCAACCCCTCTATATCAAATGGATTAAATTTCGTGGTAAGTCTATAAAAGTGAATAGTCTTCATGAGTAGAGGAAACTGAGTGCCAAAAGATGTAAGACATTACAGGCCTGTCTGTGACGTTGAGCTACCTCAGCAGCACTGCAATAGAATTTTCTGTGAAACTCAACAGCTAATCCAAAAGTTAACCAGAGAGAGAACATATGAAAAGTAGTGCATAGATCTTTGAAAAGCTGAAATTAGAAGGGCTGTTAGATATCAGATCAGATATCAGAAGGGATGTAGAGCTCTCTCTCTGGGCACTGATGCAGAAGCAGACGTGGTAGACTGAGAAATGGTTAAAGAGCATGTGGGATGCAGCATCAGAGTCTGATTGCATATAGGATGCTGATTAAAATCATCATGGTGCCTCAGTGATTTCCACATCATTTCTTCATCACTTCCATTCACTTTCCCTTGCCATTAGGAATCTTGTTTCCTGCCTCACTTTTCAATTGGTTTCCCCCATATCAGTTTTCTGAATGCATCACATCCTCCACATCCCTACAGACTTACGTGTTATGAGAGTAAGGAACATCTTTTCATGGTGGTTCTGATTTAATACAGTGAGGTAATTTTTCTCAATTAACAATTCAATCAGTACAGCAACTCTCTATATCTTGGTCTTCGCAAGGAAATATTTGGCAAAGAAAACAATGTGAGAAGCTAACACTCAAAAAATTCTTTTTATTTCAAACATCATAAAAGCATGGAATTTGCATTCCAGGAATTCCAGAAGAGCTTCAGAAAATCTTTGATACGCCACACTGTAACCAGGGTGTTTGTCTTAGCTGGGGAACCCAGCTCAGAAACTCCTCAGCCAGAGTTTGTGTTGTTCACTCTGCCTCTCTGTCTTCTCGGGTCTCATCCTTTCTTTCTGCCTGTGCAGAAAGAGTCTCTCTGATTCTTTCCTTAGAAGCCAAGGCAAAGGCACAAGCCTGGCCACAGACAGACCTGTAATGTCTTACATCTTTTGGTACTCAGGCATAAATTCCAGTTGATCATTCTAAGTGTGAGCCTGAAGTTCCCCTTAAAAATTCTGTTCTACAGTGAAGATTCCATATGACAGCTGAGTAGAATTTTGTGATTGCAGTCAGCTGGGCTGTTGAAACTGTAGCACAATGCTGGGTGCTGATTACCAAGGTCACAGAGCCTGGAAACTGGTGGTTCTCACACTCTTGCCACCATGTCTTCTAGCCATGAAGAAGCAGTGCCTGGGAATGGAAATAACACATCACTTCCTTACGTTGCTTTTTGTCACAGTAGCAAATATGAAAAACTGATACCAAGAAGTGGGATTATGGCTGGTATAACTTGACCTTGTGATTTTTAGGTTCTTGAATCTAGCTTAAGTGAAGAATCTGGAAAAATTTGGAACTTGAGGCAAGAAAAGTCCTAGAATGCTGTAAATGGAGCTCAATGAGCCATTCTCATGGGGATTTGGAACACAGGCAGGCAAAGAGAAATGTGGGCATTGGAAGCCCAAATCACAAGGTTACAGAGAAACAAGGACACTTTCAGGGACAGGACTCATGTCCATGAATGTTATACTATGGCAAAGAAACTGGTTGTATGCTGCCTGTGCCCTTCAGTGAAGCTAAACTCAAAATCAACGGACTAATTTGTTTGGCAGAGTAAATTTCAAGACAAGAAAGCATTCAGGCTTTGGCATGGTTACTGTTTGTTGCTTTGATCCAGGTCTACTGTGAGACAAAGCAAGAAAAGGAACAAAAGGATATGGAAAATGTGATTCTGGCTGGTTTTGTTCTGAAACAGAATAGGTTTAAAGTTGCAAACAAAGCCCGGAGAGTTAAGAGTGTGTTGGGTCCCAGCATATTGGGTGGCCTGAAATTCCTTCTGCGGGGGGACCAGGCACCATCTTTTGGCCTTTGCAGGCACCTGCATCTGCAGGTATAAACCCACACATACACACATAATTAAAAAATAAAATATTTTTTAAAAAGTTGAAGGAATCTGAGGAAACAGACATAACCATTGAAGAGATTAACACCATCAAAGAGAAACCTTTACCTTGTAGAAATTCTGTGCTAGGACAATAGGAAAGATGCCCTGAAGACAATAGGAAAGATGCCCTGAAGACAATAGGAAAGATGCCCTGAAGACAAGATCCCACCCATTAAATGCACCATCTTCTGAAAATAGGAATTCATCTGAAAGAACTGAACTGGTGCTAATGAAAGTATTCCCTACTAGAAAACAATGCTCAGGGAATGGTTTTTCCTGGGATTAACATGTGAAAGACCACTCACCTAAAGAAAGACCAGGTTACTCCTAAAGCTGAACGTGGCAGTATCATCCACATACTGCTTCTTTTGGGGAAAAAAAAAAAGATATGAAAGTGAGGATGTTACATTGGCCTGCACCAAGGTTGCACAAAGCCAGAGGCCAAGCAATATACAGCTGGGTTGGAGTGAGGCCAGTGCATGAAGCTGTGAAGGTGAGATCTAAGCTGCAGCGAAGTGTCTAGAATGCTGGAGACACTGGTACCGTGTGACCTCTGATGTAGAAAGCTGTGTGCACTGGAACGAGCTGCCCGAGAGAAGCTCTCTGTGCCACAGGTGGAAGGGTAGGGTTACCCAAAGCCCTTTAGAACACAGCTGATTCCATCACAGGCCCCAGATGCCAAACACGGATCTTTTAAAGTTTCAGAAGAGACCCTGCACTTAAAAGTTTGAATAGTGTGGGGAATTGTTAAAGACTTTGGGGGACATTTGAAGTTGCACTAAACGCATTTTATGAGATGATCGTGAGTCTATGAGGACAAGAGATAGGTTATGGCTTGAAAGTGCTATGTTATGGTGTCAAACTGATCATGGGTGGACTTGTGGTGGCTCTTGACTATTAACTTGGCAGGTTTTTTTTTTTTTTTTTTTTTTTTTTTTTTTTTTTTTCCTAAACAGGGTTTCTTTTTTTGTCTTTGGCGCCTGTCCTGGAACTCACTGTAGACCAGGTTGGCCTCAAACTCACAGAGATTTGCTTGTCTCTGNTTTTTTTTTTTTTTTTTTTTTTTTTTTTTTTTTCCTAAACAGGGTTTCTTTTTAACTTCGGAGCCTGTCCTGGAACTAGCTCTGTAGACCAGGCTGGCCTCAAACTCACAGAGATCCACCTGTTTCTGCCTCTTGAATGCTGGGATTAAAGGCTTGTGCCACCACTGCCTGGTCAACTTGCGGGAAACTCCTGTGGAAGACTTCTTTCATGCTGCCCTAAGTTTGGTGGAATCACAGGAAAATGAGATCTTCACTTTTGAAGTACTTTAACAGGCAGCGAGTGGAATTGCTACTATAAAATTTTAAAGCACACAAAAGGCTTAATGAAGATAACGAACATTTTTCTTGGCACCCAGAGAAACTGGTTAAAAAAAAAATTCACTGAATTAGGAACTTGCGCAAAAGCTCTGAGATGGAAATCTTGGAGCAGCCTGCCACCTTCAGGATAACTAACCAATTAACTCAGAGCGCAGAGGTTTTGGCTTCTATGTATGGCATCTACCAATATGCTCCTTAGAGCAGTCACCAGAGAAATAGTTCACGATGAGCAACTGTGAGAACATTTCTCCCTAGGATGCTGCAGTCTAACTAATATAGTCATTTAAAAAATTAAATCCCTCCCTTTGCTTTCAATTGGCTAGGCACAACCAATCTAGTTCACTTAACCAAATAGGCTAAGAACTCTTAATCGTTTTTACAACTGCGGTCTGGGAGAAATACTATTAATTTGGAAACTTAGTTTCTTGTTGGTGGGCTTTAAAAACTTATGGGTCAATCACAATGTCTTTTTTATGGGTCAATTTCATTCTTTCTAAATAATCATAATTAGTATCAGAGAAATCCATTCGGAAAAGAAAAGGAAGGAAGAAAAGAATGGGGGTGGGGGACTACGAAGAGCAGGATTCGGTGCTCCTTTTTGAAGACGTCAAATTAGTCGTAAGAAAGGCGTGGTAATAAGTAAGTAGTGAAAATGCACCAGGCAAGAAACGGGAAAATAAAAGCTGTCAAATGGAAAAGCCGCTGAGAACAAAGATTCTTTATTTTCACGTCTCAAAAGCAGAGCCAGGGAAGTGCAGAACCTTGACCCTCTGCACAGACCTTTGCTTGCTCTAGCAGGAATTTTGCAACCGTGCGGTTACGTGGGCTGAAAGCCTTTGGCGCGAGCGTCCCTGACAACGCCGACGCGCACCCCTGCGGCTGGCGGCTGCACCCAGCATGCGTCCTCCCGGCCGCCAGGGGGCGCCGAGCGCGTCCTCAGTGGTTTCCCAGCGCCTGACCCTAGGCGTGCGCACGCTCCGGGCGCACAGAGGTCACTCGCGCCGGCGGCTCCCCACGTGCGCGGAGAGTCCGGGGCTGCAGGATGTAGAGATGGGGGCTCGCGTGAGCCGCGCCTTCAGGAACTTCAACCTGGAGAACCGAGCCGAGCGGGAGATCAGCAAGATGAAGCCCTCCACGGCTCCCAAGCACCCTTCCACCCGCGACCTCCTGCACGAGCAGCTGAGTCGTGAGTGCGGTCCCTCCCTCCCAGGCCTCCGGTGACATTGAGGTCGTCCCCGCGCGGGGTCGGGTGGCCGCGGCTGGGTTCCCGGCGCTCGGGCCAGTGCACGCTCCCGCCCGGGGTCTGCGCTGGGTGCACGCCTCGCCTAGCGTTTTCCCGCAGCTGTCCAGATGATTGTTTCTTCTTTTAAAATTGCCTTACGTGTTTATGGGTTTCTAGAAAAGATTATGGCCCTTTTCCCCCCCTCTTTTTCTTTTTTAGAGCATCCAGAAATCAAAGAAGAAGTTTCTAGGAAAGATAACAAGCTGTTGTCATTACTAAAAGATGTGTATGTCGACTCCAAAGATCCGGTGACGTCCTTGCCGGTAACGTATGCTTTAATTAAGCAAACTGTTCATTTGGAGGAAGTGATCAAGGAAAAGAGGGCAACCAGTGAAGAATAGTGCCAAGAGTGTGTGTGGCATGGAGGGCGTGTCAGTGGGGAGCCCTGCGATTGTGATGTAGGACTTTGGCTCATTGATATATAGGGAGTGCCGAAAGACCCGGGAATGAATTTGATTGCATGCATCTGTGTGGACGGTTTATTGCGGAAGTTGAAAGATTTGGTTACCCTACTTTGGTATAGGGTACTTTTAGTGATTAGTCAGAGTGACCAAAAAAAAAAAATGACTTTTTAGAGCTCTTTTCGTGTGTATAAGTTAAGATGTTCCTACGTTAACGACAGCGTCTGGTGGGGGCATGTTTGTATTTTTAAGGGTGTGTCTGGACAGGATATGTAATTATATGTAAGTTCATGTAATATGCTGGAATGGTAGTCACATCCTAGTGATCCTTGGTCGGCGGGCATAGCTACACAGCTACAGTGTTATTACAGGCCCTGGAGGAGTAGGGACTACTTTTAGGGAAGTGACATTTAAACCCGGGCCTGGAATTTGAATTCGTGTTGGAATCACTGAGGTGACCATTGTGATCGAGGCGCAGAGTTAGATGGGGAAGCGTCAGCTACAACTCTCAGTTATTTGCATTCTAAAATTTATTTATCACCAAATTCTTACTTAAAGATGGCAGTAGTATGGTATTTTTTTAGGCTGATGCTGAGCAGTACTTAGAAATACTGTTTCTCGTTTATACTAAGCATGAATTATTGTGATTTTATGTAAATATATTTGATAATATATTCGGTGTTGTGTGTGTAGAAGAGATCAGCTTAACCTCTTCCAATAGACGCCAGTCACCTAAATATACAATTAATTTACTAATTCCTTTCCCTACTTCTGCTGATAGACTTACTGCTGCTGTTTGGTTTTGCTTCTTACCACTAGACCCATACTATCTCAGATAATAGACCATCGTAATACATCCTGGTGACTGATAGGACCTAAAAGGCTTCTTGACTCTTCTCCAGTTATTTTCTTCTAAATGACCTTGGAATCCGAGTGTTGGCGCCTTTAGTAAGCTTTGTTTAGATTGGATTACAACTAGATTAAGGAATCACAGGTTAACTAGAAAAAGATTAACTTTTAATTAAACATTAATTCAAAGGTTAACATCTTTTAATTGTTGAGTCTTTGAGGAAGACAGGAAAGTTGTTTCTTGTCAGTAGAATTTTTAAGCCTCCTATTTTAGCGTATGGGAAAATGAATGATTTTTGTTTTGTAGCTACCCACATTACTAGTTAATATTTCTGCTAGGAATTAGTTTTTTAGCTTTTTTCTTAATATTTTATCTCTGTGGAATTTATAATCTTCTCTGCCTTTCTACTAAATGAAAAGAGGCTGTTTACTTTTATTAAAAGTTTTTTTTTTTTTTTTTTTTTGGTGTTAGGGATTACTGTGAAATACTGAAGGAAAAGGAAAATCTCTGTATGGAGTGGAAGGTGGATCTTCCTGGTTTTGGAAGATCAGAGACACTTTGAGATTTAGAAAGTGAAAGAGTGGGGGTGAGTGCCTGAGGCTCAAGTGGGGATACGAAGGCAGAATTCTGTGGGGACTGGTTACTGGTTACAGTGTACATGGTTAGGGGAAAGTAGGTTAGGGCAAACTACATGCCAAGCAACTTTAGTTTTATTAAGAGGGCTTTGGAGAGTCATTGAAGAGTTTAATGTGGAAAAAAAAAAAGTGGTGTTCAATTTGAGAGTGAACTAGGAGGGAACAGAATTATCTAGTTAGAGGAAACCTGCTAGATGTCTTTTAATAGTTCCTTCCAGTGGCACCACCATGGTCTAGGTGGTTTAGTGGAGTAGAGGAGGGAGAATGGGATCAAGAGAGACTTGGGAGCTGTTATGAACAATGTCTGTTCATACATTAGACAGTTTTAAGTGTAGACTTGGAAGCAGGCAGATTGGTAGGTTCATTGTTAGACATTCTGGAGTTGAGGTGTATACAGGTCCAAGTAGAGGTGCCCATTAGGCATTTGGGATTCGGGGCTTAAGTATCCAAAGAAAGGTCTTAGTTTGGGGCCAGAGATGTTGACATCATTACACGTGGGCTAAAATGGGAGGTAAGGAGTAGGTGAAGATCCAGAAGCTCAAGGCTACAGCATTCATGACACCCTGTCACCAAAATACAAAGTTAAAGAAGATGTAGTTGGAACTTAATGAGCAGCAGAAGGGACAAAAGCCACAAAGAAAATCGAAGTACAGATGGAAAACTGGGAAAGACTCAGCATGGAAGCTGAGGGCAGGGACCTTGGCAGTTACAGGTAGATTTGTACATTATAGTCAGCATTGTCAGGTGTGGTAAGTTCTGAAGAGTTCCTCTGAATAAAGCCACTGGGGTCGTTAGTGCAGATTTATGATTTAAGCTTTAACCAAATTACAGGACTGATTTAAAGAGGTGTTGGCTTTGGGTCTGGGGGTTTTACAAAGGTTGTTGACCAAGAAGTGGTGTAGGCAGGTGTAATTGAAGACAAAAAGAAGAAGGGAATGCCTAGAGCAGCTTAAGGTAATTAGCTCTGATAAAACTGGCCTGAACAACTTGCGAGGAAAAGGATTATTTCACCTGACATCTAGGTAATAGCTCATCAGTGATGGCAGGATGGAAAAACTTTCAAGTAAGTTGTTCCAGCCCTTTTAGGGTGCTGCTCTTCTGAAACGGGTGTCATTTTCATCTAACCAACCCCCATTCTTTTAATATACAAGCTGCGGTTTCCTTACCCGACCTGCTCAGGACCAGAAGTCTTACAGATCTGATTTTGGGATATTTGTAGTACATTATGAAGCATCTTTGTGGTAGTATCCGATTTTAATCATGCGGTTCATTTATATTTCATGTACAACTTACAAAGCCTGAAGGCAAGTTGAGGGGTTGTTCTGAGTGGACTTGTATTTTGACTGCTGGTCATCATAGCAAGTTAGATGTGGAGTTTTCTCCTTGGGCATCACGGTTCAGAAAGTTTGGATTTTAGAGCATGTGGAGCTCATACTACTCATGTAAATGGCATGTATTCATTCAGTTTAATTTTACAGAACTTTTCTTAGTTATGGCAAGCTATAGTTAGGAAAGACACTAGAGTGAGAAAATACAGTTGAGGAAGTGTGTGCATGTTTATCTGAAAAGAAACACATAGACCTAAGAATCACGGGAAATGTAAATCTTCTATCCTAAAGTTCTTTTGTTGTTGTTGTTGTTGTTGTTGTTACTAGGTAAAAGATGCCAAAGTGCGGACGCAAGAACCAAAGGAGTTCAGATTGCCGATAGGACAGCAGTTGGATAAGAATGTCATGGACATCCCCAAAGGCAAAGTTTCTGTTGTAGAAGCGTTGACACTTCTCCATAACCATAAACTTTCTCCAGAAACATGGACTGCCGAGAAAATTGCCCAAGAGTACCATTTAGAACTGAAAGATGTAAATTCCGTTCTCAAATATTTTGTTACTTTTGAAGTCAAAATCTTTCCTCCGGAAGACAGGAAAGCAATACCATCAAAATGAAGGAATCATAAAAGAGCTGCCTGTGTGTCCTCCATGCACGGTGTCCTGGTTCAGTGTATTCAATTACACAAGTTACTGTGAACCCGGTGCCTGTTTCCAGCACTCTTTGACCTCTTCAGGGTTGTTCAGAGAATGTTCTTTTTTTTTTTTTAAACTTTATGTATGTGTAATTCCTGCATATATGTCAGCATGACCAATCCCATGTATAAATTTATTGCAAGTAAGAGGTAATGTGTTATTTTAGACACATCAGCTTTTAAATTAATCATGTGGCCCAAATCATTTAATACTAAGTTTCGCTTTCCAGTTTAGGGTGGTTTGTTCTTTGTAGGAGACACGGAAAGCTGGAGCCGTCCTACCCCTGTAAGACTGGCATTTTGTTGGGGAAAGAGATTCTCAGCGGTGAGACACGGTGACTATTTCCCAAATACACTGAGTACAAAAGTAGAAAATGCATATTACCACCTTGAGAATAAACATCCATAGACTTTGTTATGTTTTGAATTGGTTTTAAGTATGAAATAACTTTTTAGAACAATTGGCGGCATCTGTAACATGTCAACAGTCTCTTTTGACAAGTAGAGGTAACTTTAAGAGCTTTCGGAGAGACAGGCAGTACCTATGACTATTAGAACAAGTAACTTCCGCCAATCCAGAAGTAAGAGAACTATGTAAGGAATAGCTTAAAAGGATCTAAATCTCATGATCAAACATACCTGTTTTCGTTCTAGGAGAAAAAGTAGCAAACAGAAGTATAAACTAATAGTCCCCAAAGGGACCTGAGAAGTTACTGATTCATTCATCTTAACGCAGGAGCATAGCACACTCCAGTAATAGAATCTCAAATGAGGTACTATGACGTGTTTTACCTGTGGGTTCTTGGCTGTATTGTTTGGCCTCTCTGTAATTGAATTTCTATAAAAGTATAATGCTGCCTTGTGTAAATTCCAGGGCAGTAGTGAAGATAAATGACAAAGGACCAAGCAAATACAAATTCTTGTAGTTAAGTAGGTGTCTAAAGAACATATGACTGAATTGTTTATGGTACAAGGAAGTCAGAATTTAGGTTTTCAAAGTCTTACTAGTGTTTTTATTTATTATGCCAAAAAGGAACACATTTCAAAAGGACAGAATGGAGTTGGAATTGGGATTGTCCGTATACTTTCAAGGGGATACAGATCTCGCTTTAGAGTCCCTGGCTGTGATGTGGAAGTGAGAGGGGCTCAGCATGGTGATGGAGTGAGGCAGGTGTGCGAAGACAGGGAATGAACGGGAAGTGTGTGAGCTTTCTTCAGATGTAGTACCAGGGAATGAACTATCCCTGGTTATTTGTGGTCCCTACGGAAGTTTAAGAGAACACACTAATTCTGATCAGTGCAAAATTACATCTGAAAACTCAATCAGCTAAACCATCCTCCTTTAGTTCAGAATGTATTACTTTGAATCGCTAGTACTACTTCAGACTCATTTTTCCCCGTGTGGTTCAGCAGATGTAAATGTGGTTTCTATTGTATGGAATCACACAATAAAAATGCTTCCATTTTACACGGTTCTGCTTTTTGTTTCCTGCAGAACACTGGAATGGCAATGTCACGGAGGTTGCATGGATTTCACATTTGGGACAATGGAGTTTAGATTTTAGTTCCATTACTAGTTGTGTCTGAGTTGTCCTCGACCCTAAAACCAGCAATTGCACATGTTTGAAGAGCGGTTTACGTGCCAGGCACTAATCTGGGTGCTTGCATGTATTAATTTGGCTAACATTTACCACAGGCATGAAGTTAGGAATGTTTTCCTGGGAAAGCTGCCGCTCAGCAAACTTCAGTCATGTTGAAGATTAAAAAGAATATTTTGTAGACTTACTTACATAGGATTGCCTTTTTGGAGGTTGTAAGAATTAGGTGAAATATGTGTAGGCTGCTTGGGCGTGAAATGCATGCTTGTATGAGAGTCTTTTGTAGAGCTTTGGGCTAATGTGTCTAAGCTCTCTATTGCGAGAGACTTGGCTAGCAGAACTGACGTTGCTGACTGTTTGGGTTCTGGATCAGGGTTGTTCTATGGCCAGTGACTGTAATGTATGCTGGAACTGGTTGCAGGCAGTATTTGCCTCTAATGGTTATTGTGAAAGGTGAGGAATGGGGAACTGAGTTTGAAGGAAGGGAACTGAATAAGAAGGAGGAGAGAACAGAATGCCCAGATTTGGGGTTAGTGAAAATCAGCTGGAAAAGCCATTCATGAAAAAGCCTGTGGTGGGTATGGTAAAACTACCATAAAGAGACAGGTTGTCCAAATTTGGGGAAGAAGAGTGGGTGCTTTGGGAAAATTCTATCATAAAGAGAGAGGGTATTCAAACAGGCTCAGCTACTGGAAGTACCAACCACTTAGTGTCAACAGGCACATAGATAAACTCAAGTATGCTCATCCAACCACAAAGACTAGATTGCAAAGCCACCTGGGTACTTGATGTAACCATCTTAGCTCTATCTCTTTTGGAGGGCGGGGAGTGGGGATGCCTTTTTAAGGTCATGTCTTATTGCATGGCCAGACTGGTCTCAAACTCAATCCACCTGGATCAGCCTCCCAAGTGCCGTCCTTAGCTCCAGCGTGTCACTGTTAGTGTCTCGTCATCATTCAGAGCTGCATGGTTGAGTTGGTCTCTAAATACTCAGAAGTGAACATTCTCCTTTCTATATTTACTCAAAGCCTTTTTTTTTCCTTTGATCTGAATCCGTGTACGCTAAATAGCTATTTAATTCAGAACCTTTTGGCGACGAATTCCATGGACACTGTCTCCCCACTCTGGTTAATATTAATAGACCTAGTCATGGATACAACTTCACCTGACCGTAGCTGTCTTCAGACACAGTTGCCATAAGTGCCCAGAATAACACTGATTTTCCCTTCCATGGCTGACCTCTGTGACTAGAACCTGACATGAAGGAACAGGTCTATCCGATTCTAGCTTGAGGTAAGCCAGGTATGTTCTGGCTTGGATGAAGTCACTTTTGCTCTGACTACTTTTATAAACTCCTGTCTTTCTGACTTATGTCATGAGGACCCACCCACTCTGAATGTCATCAGGACTGCTTTTGTCAGTAAGTCCCCAACAAACAAGTGCAATCTTTAAAAAATAAAATTGTGTGATTGAGGGGATGCATGCCAGAGCCTGTGTGGAGGGAAGAGGGCAACAGGTTGATTGATTGCTTCCACCATGTAGGCCCCAGGGATCGAACCCATGTCATCAGGTATGGTGGCCAGTGCCTTTACTTGGAGAGCCATCTCGCTGGTCCTGGTTTTTATTTCTTGTTACATACACTCTGGCCCTGATTCTCATACACCAAGAAAGTTGTTCCAAAGCCACCAGTGAACCAGTCGGTAGAGAAGACATCCCAAGTTGGTCATCTGAATTCATCAAGGAGGTGTGGCTTGTGTGTTGGATGCTCCACATCTGAGCGGGTCATGAATACCTGGCACTACAAGTTTCCAGGCGGCAGCTGTGATCGGAGAGCCCAGATGAGAATCACAGTGAGTGCTAGGACTTGCCACCTGCCCACCGTGCCTACAGTCACCCAATCTGAGTGGGGAAAAAGCAGGATGGAAATTTGAAAATGACTTTGACTACAAGGAGATGTGGTGGGACCGCCTATTCATGCTACAGTGCCTAATACTACTAAAGTCATGGGGAAAATTCTTTTGGTTCTGTAGATGCTGTCTGAGCCTAACTGATGCTCCTCTCCACTGTCCCTCACACACCTACACACAACCAGTTTGTCTTCTCTTAGGAGGCAATACAATGGCCACCTTGGGTATTGCCTCAGGGATATGGACACCGTCCTTCTGTCATAGCATGGTGGCTTGGAACCTCTCTGTTCTCATTACAGACTGCCATTAATATAGATGACATTATGTTAACAGGGAGGATAATTGGGGACACAGTAGAATGATTATATGGTCACCTGTGCACAAAAGGACAGACTGCCAGCCCCAGAGTCATGGCCCTGGATCATCTGTGAAGCTCTGTAAGATGCTCTTGCTGGACCAGACCTCTTTGATTCCAGACACAGAGAGAGAAAGTGCAAACCTTCCCCATCCCTCTCCCACTAAAGATGCACAGTTTTTGAGAGGTTCCGAAGTTATCGGTGGGCTTTCCATTTTCATGTCCCTTCCTGCCTTTGTGACGCTACCTGCAGGTTAAGAAAGGAGCCTCTTGAGACCGGAATATTCCCCAGCAGAAAGCATTTGGAGACCTTTCTGCGTGCAACTGCAGTTAAAAGTCACTAGGTGGCATGAGTTGGGCTCTGGCCTGAATAAGGAGGAGAAAAGTTCCAAGGTTCAGATCATTTTCTGGAAGGGAACTGAAACTAGAAAGAATCCTTTTCCAATAGCACTTTCCAGCAGTGCACGGCGGTCCTCCACAGCCGGGGCTACTTATCACTCACGATGCAGAATGGCCTTCCTGGCCTGGCCTCACTCTTCTGTCCGACAGACACCTGCTCTAAATGAGTCAGTTATACGCAGGTTTACAACTAAGTGTGTTTCCCAGTAGCTGATGAGTTTAAGAGTTGTGCTCCCCCTGAAACTGCCTAGCCACCCCAGGTGACCTCCCTCCCCAGAGCTATGGTATAATAAGTGCAAGAGGGTAGCTGCCAGACCTGAAAATGGTTGGGATCGACGTGGGCCCAGCAGAGGGAACTCGAGTATCATCTGTCCCAGGTTCTGTCTGGACTGAGGCAGGAGAAATCAGAACAGCTAACCCACAGCCTTAACAGGGAGTATAGCTGATGATAACTCATAAGCCATGGACACTTCTCACTGGTACCGACAGTTGTGGAGGGGCCTGAGACCTTACAGTTATGAATGGACGGTGTCATAAGGAACAATTATAGCCTAGTCAAAGACTTTCTTAGAAAAAGAGTGAGTTAACCTGCTGCTGGTATCCAAAGTCTAGAAACTTAACGCGTGATATAGATGATGCCCATATCACATTGAAGTGACGTCAG